TGTAAAGAAATAGGATGAATCTTAAGTAATCTCTTTGGATAAGAATATATATATATATATATATATATATATATATATATATATATATATATATAAGTTGTTTTTTTAATACATTTTTAATTAAACATTTCGTGGAATGGAGTTTTTCGTGATCACTATACGAAAATATGAGCACAAATGTTTTTAGCATAATGCCGAGGTGCGTTTAGAAAAAAAAATGTAGACTATAAATCTCGAAATAAATGTTTTTAAAAAATGAGCTAAAACAGTGCATTCCTGGGAAACCTATACATACATTTTAAAATACAAATATTCCAGTACATCATCATAACATCCCCACATTTACGACAACCCCAAAGAGTTTTGAATAGAACATAACGCCACATTTCTCAACACAATTTTAATATTTTTAATCAATCCTGATGAGATTCTCAATGCTCCCTGATATAATCAACAGTTTAAAATGCATATCTTATTTACAGACGTTTAAAAGGACATCCGAAATTTGATTTAGAAAAACAAATTAAGAACAAAACTTTTGGAAAGAAACTAATGAATAAACTAAAAAGTGAAAAGATATTTGAAAGCTAAAGAAATAATATCACACCTCTTGACCGAATTGTCTGTTTTAATAGAATTGTATATTAAGAAAGGACATTTTTTAATTTCTTGAGTACATTTAAAAATGTATCACATTTATAATTTTTATACGACTTCTATATTTTTTAATAACTAGGAATGTTTTAGAAATAATAGAATTAAGTTGTTTAAAAAAAATGTACCATATTCTTCATTCAGTTCGCTCTAGACGACAACGCTCTTGACTAAAAAAATTTGCTTTCAATGCGATCAGTAGTACAGTAACCCTTTTAAACATGGCGGTCCATGGTGAAGATGAAGTAGAGATCCCCTGTTTCTGTGATCATGGCATATGAAGGGATCATGTGGCCAGCACTATTCTCCTAATTGAGTCCTGGGAAAATCATCGCTCTACCGCTAGGCCACTCAGGCTTGTGATAGACCTATTTAAAAAAACCCACCCGACTTCCCTGTTCTCTGGTTTACTTCCCAGTGAGCGTGTTGTATGTAATATTTTTATTGTAAGTCCATATAATATCATGCTTATCATACGCGCCTGTCAGACTTTCAATTAACTGAACTACAGACCAAGTTAACACCAGTTAAAATATTGGAACGTTGTAATTATAAATTGAAACGTTAAATCAATATTTCACATTAAGAATTAAAAGCCTCCAAATAATTTAATAAGCAACAAGTTATTGAGATGTTTGCACTTCAGTCTAGTCTTCCGTCTCACCCAAGTTATTAATAGCTCTTGTGGAATTTCCGAAAAAGTTTCGACAATACTGATTTTTTTTAAATGACGCAATAAAAATTAATTACATTGGGACCAAATCGTGACCCAAACAATTTAGAAGAGAACAGCAGACTCTGGTATATTGGTGGGTTGGTTATTATAATGTCAATCATAGAGCAAGGGACATTTGTAATTGAAATCTGTCTAGCTAGTTTCAGTCTATCTACAGAGGGGGGGGGGGGGGCGGGGGCAACAACAACTACAGAAGTGGGTTCTGGATTTGGTGTCCATACAACAAACATACATACACACCTACTTATGTATATATATATATATATATATATATATATATATATATATATATATATATATATATATATATATATATATATATATATATATATATACACCCGGACTTGAGAATGTATGACGTCCCAGCTCCACCCAGTCAGTCCTAATAGGTAGCTGATTCACCTTAGCAAAGACGACATGACATTAAACAGACCACACAATCTCTCTTTATATGTCTTTAATTATGAGATTTCAAAACCTCGGTTTATATATTTGACATGAGTACTATTCCGTCTTTTTCTTTTTTTTTGGCACATTGATGGGCATCTAAAGGACACATATTTTTTTATTGAGCACACAAGCGGGACCTCTGTTTAAATATTCTACCGATGGGGCCCAACCATGTTCTAACTGAGAAAATTACGTCATCGGCATCCGTCAGATTACACGTTCAAAAGACGAGGGGGTTACATATTAAAGTCAGCGTTGATCTAGGTTTTTACAAGCTTTTATTTAACTCACTTCCTCGTCAGTCGTCAGTCGTCAGTCTAGACTAGACCGAAACGCAGGAGTGAAAATTCGGAAACTTCTACTTGACCGATACGATTCACACTTGGCACGTGGGTCAAGACATGAAGACAATGCAATCTGAAATTAAATTTGACTTAATTGGATACCTAATTAATTTTTTATGAATTAATTAAAATTTGGACCGAATTAGTAGGCATGTCTAGCCAACCACACCACACGCGTCATCACGTTCAATAGCTGCGCCATCACGTTACGTTCAATAGCTGCGCCATCACGTTCAGTAGGCGCGCAATGGTTTTTAGTCATGTAACTCTATTGTAAATAAAACATGTAAAGTACTGAAAAAAAATTCATAAAAAACGTTTTAATAACAAGCTTTTATGTAATAATGCACTAAAAAGTAGAAAATAAATTAGAGACTACTATTTAAATTACTATAAAGAAAAGCGTGGGTCTCTTCTCAAATATTAGTAAAGGTATCCAATCGGTACTAAAGTGACCCACGCTTTTCTTTATAGTAATTTAAATAGTAGTCTCTAATTTATTTTCTACTTTTTAGTGCATTATTACATAAAAGCTTGTTATTAAAACGTTTTTTATGAATTTTTTTTACAAGCTTTTATTTAACTCACTTCCTCGACAGTCTGTCTGTCTGTCTGTCTAGACCGAAACGCCGGAATGAAAATTGGGAAACTTCTACTTGATCGATACGATTCACACTTGGCACGTGGGTCAAGACATGAAGACAATGCAATCTGAAATTAAATTTGACTTAATTGGATGCCTAATTAATTTTTTATGAATTAATTAAAATTTGGACCGAATTAATAGGCATGTCTATCCAACCACACCACACGCGTCATCACGTTCAATAGCTGCGCCATCACGTTCAATGGCTGCGACATCACGTTCAGTAGGCGCGCAATGGTTTTTAGTCATATAACTCTATTGTAAATAAAACATGTAAAGTACTGAAAAAAAATTCATAAAAAAAAACGTTTTAATAACAAGCTTTTATGTAATAGTGCACTAAAAAGTAGAAAATAAATTATAGACTACTATTTAAATAACTAGAAAGAAAAGCGTGGGTGTCTTCCTTAACATTAGTAAAGGTATCCAATAGATACTAAAGTGACCCACGCTTTTCTTTCTAGTTATTTAAATAGTAGTCTATAATTTATTTTCTACTTTTTAGTGCACTATTACATAAAAGCTTGTTATTAAAACGTTTTTTTATGAATTTTTTACTTTTATGATCTGGTTTAGATTTAACTATTTTTCGCCATTTCAGAGGTATGTGGGTATGCAAGACGTATTTAGCCAATCTAACGCACACCGTTTTGCTATTTATATAAGGCGGATGTTTTTATCTCAGCTAAATTAAACAGGAAAAAAAAAAAAACTATATCCATCACAGGTTTCGGTTTCATTAAGGGCGATCACTCCAGTTTTCTGTTGTTTTTTTTTCAAAGCTGCGTTTTTTTTTTGTTCTTCCGTATCCAGCGTAAAAAAATTAAACTTCTACTTTGTTAATCAGCTGGCTTGAAGGTCTGTTTTTGCTGATATTTAGACTTCTAACTTGCTTTAATCAGCTACCTTGAAGGTCTGTTTTGGCTGATATTTAGACTTCTAATTTGTTTTAATCAGCTTGCTTGAAGGTCTGTTTTGGCTGATAGGCCCAGTTAATCATTGAATGACAAAATTAGCCGCTACCGACCAGCAGACGATCTGGTTTTTGTCGCGCAGTAATCTGCGCGTGGATTGGCTTGTAGCTGGTTATCATAGCCTGCCAGTTTTTAAAGCGTATCATTCCGCTAAATAAAATAGCGCCGCCGTAGGAATTTCTTTTAATCCTGAGCGAAGCGTTGTTGCATGCAGGGAACTAGCTTAGTGAAAATGAAATTTTCCTCGAACCTCATTAAGCAGTAATCACATGTTTTGATAAAGTCAGTATAAGAAAACAGAATGTTCTTTAATGTACGTAGATCTTACGTGAGCAACCAGGTGTTGAAAAAGAATCCTGCATTAGCATAGAAATATAAATGGCCGTAGTCTACGCAGTTTAAAATTTCTTTCTCAAGACAAAACAAAATAATATGTCGAAATAATATTGATCTGTATCGAATTTTTATAATTTTTTTTTAAAATAAAAGAGTGAACACATTTTATCCATTTCGATTACAAAGGAAATCTCCGCGACAAAAAAAAGTTTTAGTTTTTAAACTACATAGAGCAAGTGATCCTGACCTCAAGTGACCCTGACCTCAAGTGACCCTGACCTCAAGTGACCCTGCTCTAAGTGACCTCGCCCTTAAGCCTTAAATAGCCCTCTGGCCTTAAGCAACACTGACCTAGGATCTGCTCGCTTTCAAAAATTGTGTTTTTGTGTCAGTTTATAACGCAGTGTAAATTACGAATTGCCTATAAATTAAAACCAGGTGGTCTGGGGTAACAAGGGGGGGGGGCATGACGATATTTCTTAGAATTGTGGTTTAACACACACCGCACGGACCTTTAAAGGTTGAACTCTGGGACGTATGCAGGGCGAGTATGACTTCCTTTTTGATGACGTATAAGCTAAGAATGCAGCAAGTAAAAATCAGCCTACATTGTTGACCTCCAATATGGACATGTCAAACTAGTACAGCAGCCCATCTATCGAGTCAAAACACATTCATCTAGGAACATAATTTATCATGTTTGGTAAAAATCAAAAGAAACTTGAGTTTTACAAATAACATTTTTCATATTCTTAAAAATAAATCCTTGTTACATTGTAAATATTCAAATTCTGTTTTAAGTTTTTTCTTTTCAAATAAATGAAGTTTTTTTTTTTTTTTTTTTTTTTTTTTTCGTCTAGGTCGAACAGTGCGTTTCAGGTCACAGCATTTGCTCGTCAATTTACACGACTTCCGGTGAAGGAGACGGAGCGGAAGTGACAGCGGTTGTACCCCTTTGCTCATGCGCAGATGGACTGCATTGTCCAAGGGAGCCTGTGGAAAATTTGACTTTACCATTAGCAATGGTGAGATTGGTGTAGTGGTCAGTTAGTGGTCAGTTAGTGGTCAGTTTGGTGTAGTGTCAGTTAGTGGTGAGATTAATGTAGTGGTTAGTTAGTGGTGAGATTGGTGTAGTGTCAGTTAGTGGTCAGTTTGGTGTAGTGTCAGTTAGTGGTCAGTTTGGTGTAGTGTCAGTTAGTGGTGAGATTGGTGTAGTGTCAGTTAGTGGTGAGATTGGTGTAGTGTCAGTTAGTTAGTGGTGAGATTGGTGTAGTGTCAGTTAATTAGTGGTGAGGTTGGTGTAGTGTCAGTTAGTTAGTAGTGAGATTGGTGTAGTGTCAGTTAGTTAGTGGTGAGGTTGGTGTAGTGTCAGTTAGTGGTGAGATAAATGTAGTGGTTAGTTAGTGGTGAGGTTGGTGTAGTGACAGTTAGTGGTCAGTTTGGTGTAGTGTCAGTTAGTGGTGAGATAAATGTAGTGGTTAGTTAGTGGTGAGGTTGGTGTAGTGACAGTTAGTGGTCAGTTTGGTGTAGTGTCAGTTAGTGGTGAGATTAATGTAGTGGTTAGTTAGTGGTGAGGTTGGTGTAGTGTCAGTAAGTTAGTAGTGAGATTGGTGTAGTGTCAGTTAGTGGTCAGTTTGGTGTAGTGTCAGTTAGTGGTCAGTTTGTGGTCAGTTTGGTGTAGTGTCAGTTAGTGGTGAGATTAATGTAGTGGTTAGTTAGTGGTGAGGTTGGTGTAGTGTCAGTAAGTTAGTAGTGAGATTGGTGTAGTGTCAGTTAGTGGTCAGTTTGGTGTAGTGTCAGTTAGTGGTCAGTTTGTGGTCAGTTTGGTGTAGTGTCAGTTAGTGGTGAGATTGGTGTAGTGTCAGTTAGTGGTCAGTTTGGTGTTGTGTCACATTCTGCTTGAAGCGGCGTTAAGCTCCCATATTCTACACTGGAGTAGAATAAAATAAAATAATTCATTCTAAAAATATTCAAACGGTAGCATTTGTGTGTAAAAGACAATGTGCCATTCATCCCTGGTATTCTACGTTTGACAGATATGTTACAATACAAGAGAGAAGTCTGCGTTGTAAAAAAGTTAATACCACTCGCATATTTGTTGGAATGAAAAAAAATGAAGCAGGAACGGTAACTCCCGCATATCACGTAATCTCCTTTATCAAGAAAACAAGGGAATTAATTCAAAAGGGGAAATAACCTAAGGTTTTCTTGAATCAATTTTCCACTCTGTATGCAAGCATATATTTAGGGGTGCAGCCGATAGAATTTGTTCTTAAAATAGTTTGTTTATTTTCCTATATTTAGAGCAGCCAGTAGCTTGTAAGCATAAACCTTTTTATATAAAACTATCATGGTATAAATATAATGGTATAAACTTACAATCAACCCAAAAGTAATTACAAACGTAAAACATCACGAAATCACAATCAATTTAAAAGTAATTACTCAAGTAAAACATCACAGCAGAAATTACAAACAAAGAAGAAATTAAAAAAAAAACCACAACAGCAAAGAACTTAATCAACACAGAAAGTAGAAAAGTAAAAAAGAAACATCACAGAACATACAATTACTCGCGTGAATGAGCTATAAATAGACTGAAGTCTGCTAAAGTGCTAACTGTCCCTTAATCCATCGGTCCAGTGGTTCGCATGGCCAGTTGGGACGTTAAAAATCTGGCCAAAAAAAAAAACCAAAGACTGTGTGGACTGACCTCGATTGTTTTTTGATGAGGTTAGAATCGATTAGTTGACCTGTTACTTGGCCAGTTTAAGACAGGTTTTTGTCATGCCCAGAGCAGTGCAAGTATCCTATCGGATAGGTACAACTCTATTTCATCTGTTTTATACAATAGTGCAGTAGTTTATTTTCTTTTAAATTGAGTACCCCAAAAATTTGGGTAACTATGATTCCCCTTGTGAAAAGACTAGATAAATAAAATATGGTTTATTTTTACGTTGAGCAAAATTTTTGTACATCTCAAGGCATTTTTTCTAGTAAATATTGTAAGAAAACAGAGAAAACATATATGTTAAATTTCTTCTAACTGAAACAGTACTTGATATAGGCTTTTGAAAAAACGAAAGTAGAAAAAGTTCCACTTCAGGTTATCGGAAATTGTTGAAAAGTTTATAGAGAACTACAAATTTGATGTAATACTTCTAAATGAAATTTCGTCAACCTAGCTGTAACGGTACTCAAGTTATCGTGTTCACAGACACACAGACACAAAGACACACACATACACATACACAGATATACAGACAGGATTGCAAAAAAATTTCTACTCAGGGAGGTCTCGCGCGAGTTCAATTTTTCTCACTATTACAATACTTCCTCTATGCGAGAAAGGTAAAAACTATAACACACGATGCTTTAGCTTAAGTAGACGCGTGAAGCCTAGACGCGTGGAGCCAAAATATGTGTCCCATGCCCCGAGTCCATGAGCCTCTTGCCATCAACGTGAGTAAATAAGGTTTCTCATTTGTTCCCTGCCCTGCAGGTATGGTCTGTGTCGGCCCCTCCACGAGCTCAAGGTGTGCGAGGAGGGGGAGGAGACGCTCAGCACTGAGGTCGCCGTAGACGGGAGCTGGATAGAGAGGCACGACATTCAGGTAAGTGGTGGTGCCCGGTACGTAAAGTAGAGGTGGTCGGTACGTTCATTGGAGGTGCCCGGTACGTTCAGTGGTGGAGTCCGGTACGTTCAGTGGAGGTGGCCGGTACGTTCAGTGGAGGTGGCCGGTATGTTCAGTGGAGGTGGCCGGTATGTTAAGTGGAGGTGCCCGGTACGTTCAGTGGTGGAGTCCGGTACGTTCAGTGGAGGTGCCAGGTACGTAAAGTAGAGGTGGTCGGTACGTTCATTGGAGGTGCCCGGTACGTTGAGTGGAGGTGACCGGTACGTTCAGTGGAGGTGGCCGGTACGTTCAGTGGAGGTGGCCGGTACGTTCAGTGGAGGTGACCGGTACGTTCAGTGGTGGAGTCCGGTACGTTCAGTGGAGGTGCCAGGTACGTAAAGTAGAGGTGGTCGGTACGTTCAGTAGAGGTGGTCGGTACGTTCAGTAGAGGTGGTCGGTACGTTCATTGGAGGTGCCCGGTACGTTGAGTGGAGGTGACCGGTACGTTCAGTGGAGGTGGCCGGTACGTTCAGTGGAGGTGGCCGGTATGTTCAGTGGAGGTGGCCGGTATGTTCAGTAGAGGTGGCCGGTATGTTAAGTGGAGGTGCCCGGTACGTTCAGTGGTGGAGTCCGGTACGTTGAGTGGAGGTAACCGGTACGTTGAGTGGAGGTGACCGGTACGTTCAGTGGTGGAGTCCGGTACGTTCAGTGGTGGAGTCCGGTACGTTCAGTGGAGGTGTCCGGTACGTTCAGTGGAGGTGGCCGGTACGTTCAGTGGAGGTGGCCGGTACGTTCAGTAGAAGTGCCTGGTACTTCATTTCAATTCTATCCTTACAATGTATTGGTCTCTGGTTAACCTGAGAATATGTAGGACACAGGGCCATCCTGAGATTTTGTAGGACATAGGGCCATCCTGAGATAATGTAGGATATAGGGCCATCTTGAGAATATGTAGGACACAGGGCCATCCTGTGAATATGTCGGGCCATCCTGAGAATATATCGGACACAGGGCCATCCTGTGAATATGTCGGACACAGGGCCATCCTGTGAATATGTCGGACACAGGACCATCATGTGAATATGTCGGACACGGGGCCATCCTGTGAATATGTCGGACACGGGGCCATCCTGTGAATATGTCGGACACAGGGCCATCATGTGAATATGTCGGACACGGGGCCATCCTGTGAATATGTCGGACACAGGGCCATCATGTGAATATGTCGGACACGGGGCCATCCTGTGAATATGTCGGACACAGGGCCATCATGTGAATATGTCGGACACAGGGCCATCATGTGAATATGTCGGACACAGGGCCATCATGTGAATATGTCGGACAAAGGGCCCTCATGTGAATATGTCGGACAAAGGGCCCTCATGTGAATATGTCGGACACAGGGCCATCATGTGAATATGTCGGACACAGGGCCATCATGTGAATATGTCGGACAAAGGGCCCTCATGTGAATATGTCAGACACAGGGCCACCCTGAGAATATGGCAGACACGGGGCCATCCTGTAAATATGTCGGACACAGGGCCATCCTGCGAATATGTTGGACCATCCTGTGAAAATGCTCTTGCTAAAGCTCACAGGAAGAAACTGTAATACACCGCTGTTCATCAATTATTGAAATCCATAGATTCAGGGGATTAAAAAAACAAACAAATAGACATGTCTTTTAAATAATCTAATATACCCCAGGGACTGACCTAGTAAGATTTCAAGACTCATAAGACTCGAGTTGAATAAAAGAATACATTGCTAAAAACTTGTAGCATTATCTTGTTTTGTTCTAGCCGTTATGCTAATTTTTTTACAGCTACATTGTGAATGCCAGACCGGCAGTGACATCAGGAAGAACGAAATCAAGATAGTGGACGGGTCAAGCACAGACACCAAAAGAGTTGCCGTTCTTTGCAAAGGTATTCTTAGGAAGATAGAAAATAACTTTCATATTTTAATTGATGTTTTGTTTTGTATATTTAACGTTGATATTTTATGTTTTGTTTTGTATCCATAAATTTCATATATATATATATATATATATATATATATATATATATATATATATATATATATATATATATATATATATATATATATAATATATATATATATATATATGTGCATGTATGGGTAAGTGTGTGAGTGTATCACACGTGTCCACGAAGGCTATATTTATCTGTGTACACAAGAAAATTCATGGGTGTGCTGCTATTAATTATAAAGCTCCATACTTAGACCTGCTGGTCTGTGATTATCGCGACAGCTGAATTGAGTTTTCCCAACACAACAATAGCCAAACATTCCCATCATCCTCGTTACTTGTCTCCTCACCCATCACCGGAAGTAGATCCACCTGTTGCTAGGGACGCGCCGCAACCTGCGCCCGTCTCAGGGCGTCATCGCGTCCCTGTCACGCCTCACGTGACCAAGTGTGTTCACGTGACTAGTCGTGAACAGAGAATGACGTCTGCTGGGAAGGGTTCGACAGTGACAAGGGTTTTATTTTGGGTAGGATGGAGCTGATGTGCGAGATGTTGTCTAAAATTTGAATTGTCTGAAATAGAAAGATTAAACAGGGATGAGACTTGATGAGACATAGACCAGTTATATTAGGGAAGAGGGTTTGGTGATTACAAGGGTAGAAGAGAGGCATGATGGCAGTTATAAGATTAAACAGGGATGAGACGGAGACCAGTTATATTAGGGAAGAGGGTTTGGTGATTACAGGGGTAGAAGAGATTCATGATGGCAGTTGTGCAGGCAGGACTTGCTGGTGTTGGAGGGGAGGGGGGTGTTTAAGATATTTCATTAAGGGTGATAGAGCGTATGTTTGTGTGTATGTGTTATACATGGGAGCAGGACATTAACCCCTGTCAATTACCCCTCCCCCATCCGTACATTTAATCTCCCCCCCCCCGACGTTACGCCCGCAGCAATTACGCCCCCACGACAATTATGCCCCTGTCAATTAACCCCCCCCCCCCGTCAGTGTTAGGTTAGGGTTAGGGTTAGATGTAGGTTTAGAGTTGGGGTTAGTATTGATGTTGGGTTTAGGGTTATCTATTGATTTGTGTTTGGGGTTGGAGTTAGGGTCGGGGTTCTTCAGCATGGGGGGGGGGAGGTAATTACCCGGGGGGGGGGGGGGTAAATGACAGCTGGATGTAATGGTAGTGGAGGGGGTAAGTTCGTGGTGGGGGGTAGTTGACGGGTGATAATGTCCTAGACCCGTTAGACCTAAGGTGTGATGGTGTATGTAGTGATAGACTAACATTATGGTTGGGTAATTTTACAGTTGATGGTGTTGAGCAAGTACCACTGGCATACTGGGATTGGTTGATATTGTGTTCATGTTTTGAATATTAATTATAATTTAATTATGATGTGTACTTTATCTTCATAAAGATTGCATTAACACGGGAAGTGCGTAACATAATTATATATGAATAGTTATCCATCTATCAAAAGGGGGAAGAATTTTTTTTTATCTAGATATAAAACATGAGAGATAATCAACCCATACACTCGCTAGATAACGAAAACACTTGCCGTCGCCTCAACATTTTATAATTTCCTTGTAAGTGAATCAAAAGGGGAGACAACAGAATCAAGGGGAGACAACAGAATCAAGGGGAGACAACTCAATTGTGCGGCGCTGTGAGACTACAGCACCGGGACATTTTTCATTGGTGTAAGGGCGATAACTCAATTGAAATCTTCAAAAACAGAGAGTCCCGGTAATGTGAGGTGGGGTGGGGGCGATTAAAAGGATCGGCCAGTGGCAATTATCGTCTGCGAAAACAGAGGGTGTGGGGTTATCATCAGCGGCGATCGGTGGACTGCTCTGTGCTAATTATAGAAGCTTTTTCATGTTTCTCAGAACATTTTTTTCTTCTTGTGGTCTCGGGTCGTGTGATGTTGTATGGCCGAGTGGCATTTTGTTGGCCAGGATGGATGGAAGCAGTGTGTGTGTGTGTATGTGTGCGGGGGAGGGGGAGGGGGATAGATGAGTTATGTCGATTACATATACATACATACATACATATATTTATATATATATATAAATAAATAAATAAATATATATATATATATATATATATATATATATATATATATATATATATATATATATATATATATATATATATATATATATATATATATTCAAAAGAACAACATAATATCTCTCTCTTGCCATCTGATCTCTCTGTTGCTTAAGTAAAGTACACGTATAAATGTGCGTGTGCGTATATATATATATATATATATATATATATATATATATATATATATATATATATATATATATATGTCTGTCTGTCTGTCTGTCTGTCTGTCTGTCTGTCTGTCTGTCTGTCTGTCTGTCTGTCTGTCTGTCTGTCTGTCTGTCTGTCTGTCTGTCTGTCTGTCTGTCTGTCTGTCTGTCTGTCTGTCTGTCTGTCTGTCTGTCTGTCTGTCTGTCTGTCTGTCTGTCTGTCTGTCTGTCTGTCTGTCTGTCTGTCTGTCTGTCTGTCTGTCTGTCTGTCTGTCTGTCTGTCTGTCTGTCTGTCTGTCTGTCTGTCTGTCTGTCTGTCTGTCTGTCTGTCTGTCTGTCTGTCTGTCTGTCTGTCTGTCTGTCTGTCTGTCTGTCTGTCTGTCTGTCTGTCTAAGAAATCTAAAGGACCCTAAAAGTGGCAAATATGCTACATTGCAAAAAGGAGAAATCTGTCCCCTACATTGACACAGTTTTAGCCGTTGTAAAAAAACAAACATGTATTTTATGTAAGAAAAAAACAAACTGCAGTTTAAAAAAATATGGAGTGTCGTAATTCCATAAAAATATACACTTCCTCTACGCGTATGTTAATAACGGTTCGAACAGGGGAAAAAAGATTCGGCTGTCGAACTGAGCTTACACGTGAAGATGTAATAAGGGGATGTGTAATAGATGGGAAAGATAAAAGATCGAAGTATTGAGGCTTTCTTGTTTTTTTTACAGCGAAAACTGAGAACGAGGCTCCTGAATCCCACAGGGTACCGGAACAGACAGATGGCCAAATAAATACAGAGGAGGACAAGAGAGCCCGTGATTTTATGGCCTTCTACAAAAGGGGTCTTTCGGATCTGTCTGCGTTTTACAAGCGTGGGTCCCTGAGTGCGTTTTACAAAAGAGCCCCCTTCTACAAGCGGGGAATAAGTGCGTTTTACAAAAGGGCCCCCTTCTACAAGCGAGAGTCTCTAAGCGCTTTTTATAAAAGGGCCCCCTTTTATAAAAGATCAGTGGATCAAAGCAGGTCAACTCGTGATGTAAGTTCATTTTACAAGAGGGCCCCGTTCTACAAGAGGGGTGGACTAGATGACGGGTACACTCACAACGATAACGATGACTTGGAGTTCGCCAAGAAAGCCGACGGACTGAGTGCGTTTTATAAGCGGAATGGGGTGAGCTCTTTCTACAAGAGAGGGGGCGGGCACGGCATGAGCGCCTTTTACAAGCGGGCCGACGATGCTGACGACGACTTCATGGACGAAGACCTGCAGAAGCGTGTCCAGAGCGCCTTCTACAAACGTGGACCACACGACGATCTCAGCGCTTTCTACAAAAGAGGAGACAACGGGGTTTCGCGATTTTACAAGCGCGGGCCTGGGGGAAAGTCCAGGTTTTACAAAAGAAGCGCGGAACTCCTGCAGCCTGCGACTTCCGGGGAGACGGACGTACAGCTGGTGGAAAGGAGAAGCGGTGACGTCAGCGCTTTTTACAAGAGGGATTTTGATGACGTCAGTGCGTTTTACAAACGGGCACCCTCGTACGGTGTGAGCAGTTTCTACAAAAGGGGACCTTACAGTGACGTGAGCAGCTTCTACAAAAGGTCGCCGATGTCTTCAGATAGTGCGTTTTATAAAAGGTCACCTTACTACAATGACCTTAGTGCGTTCTACAAAAGGTCCCCTGATTATGAAAGCGCGTTCTACAAAAGGTCACCTGGCTATGACCTCAGCTCTTTCTACAAAAGGTCATACGATAACAATGACCTAAGTTCCTTCTACAAAAGGTCACCTGGCTATGACCTCAGCTCTTTCTACAAAAGGTCATACGATAACAATGACCTAAGCTCCTTCTACAAAAGGTCATACGACTACAATGACCTCAGCTCTTTCTACAAAAGGTCATACGACAACAATGACCTAAGCTCATTCTACAAAAGGTCACCTGACTATCACCTCAGTTCCTTCTACAAAAGGTCACCAAACGACCTTAGCTCCTTCTACAAAAGGTCACCAAACGACCTTAGCTCCTTCTACAAAAGGTCACCAAACGACCTTAGCGCGTTCTACAAACGAGCACTAAACGACGACAGCGCCTTCTATAAAAAATCTTCGGGTCTTAGCTCTTTTTATAAAAGGTCACCACACTTAAGCTCCTTCTATAAAAAATCATCTGACCTGAGCTCCTTCTATAAGCGCATGCGCGACGACCTGAGCGCGTTTTACAAAAGATCCCCGGATGATGTGAGCAGCTTCTACAAGCGGTCCCCATTGAGCAGCTTCTACAAGAGAGACTCCACCGACGGTCCCGAGGAAAACAGTGAGAGCAACTCCATTCAAGACGACAACAACAACACCGAACAGAGCTATACAGAACAGAACCAAGACAAGGAAGATCTCGCGTCTGAAAGTGCGTCTGATGAAAACAGCATAAGTAGACTGTATTGACAGAAACCGTTGTTTGATTCTTTTTCTTAAAAAAAAACAAAACTTGATACGGAAACCACGGGAAAATGAAACCATTTATATTTATTAAAATATATATTCTAAGCTAAAAACGTACGCATAAAATAATAATAATTCAGTAGTAAAATTTTGAATTGAACTTGACCTTGTTACGACTGACACGAGAATTTTGTTAGCTCCAAGCTTTGCAAAGAAACATGTGGAGAAATGATTACACTTTTGTTCATGACTAATATGATGTGTGTTGGCCTCTTTATTTCAAAGTTCGTTCTGTTCTTGTTGTATTGTTTAAATATGTTCTTTCGGTGTTTGTATGGGGGTGAGAGAATTGACTTAAGAAAAAACACAACAAAAATAGAAACTACGACACAGGAAAAATTATTTGTTGAGCACAAGGGGGTGAGAAAATAGACTAAACACAACTCACACGAAAATAGAAACTTTACCCCAAGTAAAATTACGTGTTGAGTACATCTCTGTTGATGCCAGAATTCTGGTGATAAGAACTAAAAAAATTCACAAAAATTGGCTACTACGGCAAATATAAGATTAGGTATAAAGTACCAAAGGAGGAAAGTAGAAGCAGAGTTCATGTTTTTTTCATCAAGTCAGAACAACTTTAAAAAGCGTCGACATTGGCCCATACACAATTGAGTTAACAACGGGGTCAGGGGTCACACAATTGAGTTAACACCGGGTTTTAGGGTCATCAAAGTTTTAAAAATAATAAAGACTTCGGCCCATGTCAAATAAAGTACTCATTCAGAATTGTGGGGTCATTCGTATTAAATCAAATTATTAAATTTGGCCCACGTAACATTAATTACTCTGTAAATATCAGGGCTATGTGGTCATCAGTATAAAAACAAAAACCACAACTTCAGCCCATGTTCAATAAAGTCATTTATCCGTACCAGGCCGGCCAAGGAAGACATGGACAAGAACGGTTGAAGAAGAGGCGAAAACAACTGGGCTCACATGGGCAGCCCAAAACCCAGTCCGCTGGAGATGTGTGGTTGCAGCCCTTTGCTCCCCAGGGGCCACAAAGGAATGATAATGATTCCCATATGAATGTGTATGTACAGATTCAAGTGTACACGATCCAAAAACTTGTATTTTATGTATACATTCCCAAAGCTTCTATAGTAGTAGAAAAGTTCTTTTCGTTCCTTGTGTAACATATAGGGTTGCCAGTTTTGAACTGGACAGTCCAGTATTTGAGCAGACTGTCCAGGATAAAATAAATATAAATACTGGACAAGTATATGAATAATACTCTGTTACCCCCCCCCCCCCCCCTTCTTCTGCTAACATAGGACCCCTGTCAAAACTTTCCACTCCCCCACGGTCTCCTGCCACAGTTTTCAGCTGTTCCCAATTCCTTCCTAAACCTTTCATCCTCTTCCAGCACATTGCGTCACCATGTCTTCCTAGGTCTGACCCGAGGTCGCTGATATTATAGAAATTACAGGAACAAAATTCTTCAAGTCATCAACAACAAAACTTGGTGTAGCTCTAAGCTGGGGTCTAGTATTAAACCAAGGGATTGATTGCAGTAAACTTGAAACAGTTGAGTCTCGGCTTTGTAAAGGTGTTCTGTTACTGCAGGCTTTTACAGTTGACCAATGTTTAAAACGAGAAGGTGTGTGGCAGCTTCGATACGGTGACTGGTTTAAGTAAAGTTCCCTTTTCGAACCTGAAGGTCCATGGGGCAAGTTAAGTAGAGTTCACCTGTTTCTGAGGCCTCGGAATATGAAGGGATAATGTGGGCAGTACTATTTTCCTTAACGTGAGTTACGAATCTATAAGAGCTGGGTGGACTCGGGAACGTTCTACTGATTGAAGCAGGATTCGTGTTAGCAGTCTAACGCTCTAAAAACAGGGGAAATAAAGAAAATGATAAAATGAAGAAACAGATTGTAAAAGCGTAGGAAACTGTTGGAGAAACTCACCACCTTTCTCATGTTGTGCTCTAATCGCTGGACGGTAAACTGAAGATTAGACTTTGTACAGGAAAAAAGTAATGCATTACTCTGGGTATACCCGGCGCCAGGGGACAAACTTTCGATTTGCACCCCCCCCCTCGAACTTTTCATTTGCACCCCCCCCCCCCTCAAACTTTCGATTTGCACCCCCCCCCTCAAACTTTCAATTTGCCATCCCCCTAAGGTCGGCGCCCGGGGACATATGTCCCCCCCGCCCCCCCCCTCGCTACGCCTCTGGGGTATACTAAAGATGGGGCATTTATATATATAGAAAAGTAATGCATTACTCTGGGTATACTAAAGATGGGGCATTAATATATAGAAAAGTAATGCATTACTCTGGGTATACTAAAGATGGGGAATAAATAAATAGAAAAGTAATACATTACTCTGGATATACTTAAGGTGGGAAATTAATATATAGGAAAAGTAAAGCAATACTATGGGCATACTAATGGTGGAACATAAATATTAAATATATAAGGGGGGCGGGGGGGGGGGGGGTCAAATATTTTTTTGCTCATTTCCAAATAGAAACATTTCTATCAATATTCAAGCTCAAACGTCAGTCAAGTCCTCGGCTTGACTTCATACTAACCTTATTCATCGTCGTCACCTAACCCATTTAACTCAATCTCTGCCCAACCTTAACGCACCAGTTTAACCCTTTCTAACATCCATGTGTGGTGATGTATAACGGTAAAGTGCTAACCAAACATCCAAAGATTTCCACGTGAAAAAAAAAATGTCCGACGATTTAAAAAGTCCAAACTTCTCCCAGAGCCGAACCACCCAATTTACGTTAACCAAATTTCACGCGCCTAAAGTAATACCGCCCTTGCATTTACACGGAATATTTAAACGAATTAGCCGTGTTTGATCCTCCCGAGTCATTTTGTTTTGCGCTGTTACGGGTATTTGCACCACCAATGTATTTCACAATTTCAATAGAAGCCCGCGGAAACAGAGTTACCGTTCCTACTTGTGCAAACGACAGTACGCGTTGCCCCAGCAACGGGACGTAACTCCAATAATTTATAACAGCGTACCGTGGGTATCGTCAGTATCAAGAAACCTCATAGATCTGACGATGGTTAAAATAAATCCCCCGTTGTTGTTTTTTTAAAAGTTGGTAGAAAAAGAGCACACGTCTGATAAAAATTCAGATAAAACTGATAACATGACGCACGAATGTTGACACAGCACTAGTTTTAACTAACTACTCATCTATTTATAGTATCGGATTTTTACACTTGGTCTTCAAATAAAACCAAGACTATGCTGTTTTTTTGTCAGCCATATTTGATTCCAATTCGAGTTGTGCTTTAAGGACTATTTCAATAAATTATTCAGTAATTATTAAACAAACCGCTACAACTAACATGGTAAAATAATATTCAGCAAGTTAGGAAGATTTGTTTGAAAGCTCTAGATCTGAACGAGAAATGTAGGGTGGGGTATTATGAAAAGCGATTGAGAAAGTTAGGGGAAAATTGCGCCCTGAATACAACACACTTAAACTACTAAATTAAAGATCATTATGCTACGACAAAAGTTTGCGAGTAGAATGGCTCCTTACCGAACAAAAGTAATGTCATCACATTTTTATGACCAATCATTTTTATGAGGGCAGAAACATGTGCCGGAAACAGGTTATTTAGCACCTAGGCAAAATTTATTTAAACGCCCCCTTCACACAAATTAATTAATAAAACATATGCACAAAAAACAATTGATTAAAAGTGACATATTAATTTATTATCAATTGCATTAACGTTTTAACTATACTCCAAATCAAATTTTACTTGCCTTCTTCGTCGCAGAAGTTTGTGTTAATTCCTTAAATTCCAGTGTTGAAGCGTAATCACATTCAGAGCCGGCGTTAGGGGTACGCGGGGCCTATGGCCAACCATCCGCGCGGGGCCTTATATTTTTTTCATTGGTGTATAATTAAAACATGTACAGTGATGCGTTTTTTTTTCTTCTTCTCAACGCGAATTGATATTTATAACGATATTTATGGTATTTTTAAGCTGCTTATCAATGTCGTATTAACATTAAGACACTGATTAACAAATAATTTGTTTACTTAGAAGTGCTTTTGAAACTTTGTTTGTTAAGGCGTTTTGTTTGAAAAGTAAAAAATAAAACAGATATAAGTTTGAGACACGCATTAAAGAGACGATGAACGTCAGCTTCAAACCTGATTTTTTTTACATTTATGTTTATTTATGAAAATCTTACCAGTACGTTCACAAACGAAGATCTACTTTTCTTGCCTTTCGTGAGAAAAATTCCATTATTATATCATCATAGTCCAAACTGGAGGCTATGTCTTTTTCTATTTTTAACACGTTTTTCTTAACTCAGCTTCGCGTTTGTGGATGTGTGGATTTGTTTGTTGTTAAAATTGACATCGAAAATTAGCCCACTTCTGATTGCTCTAGAGACCTGAAATTTGGCATGCATGCTACTTTCGCCTAACAATTTCAGATGCAATCATAAAAACTAGCAATTAGAGACCGTAATTAGCTTAATTTAATTACGCCCAAAGGACCATAAAATTGAGGACATGATTTCTAAAGATACCGACAAGACTGAAGGCTTATTGACACAGTTACTTCGGCCCCAATCGATGTGAGCGCGCTGGCCGTGATCGTATAGTGGTTAGTACTTCGCGTTGTGGCCGCGACAACCCAGGTTCGAATCCTGGTCGCTCAAGATTTTTTTAGTCCGTGTATTTATAAACACTTAGTCAATTCATACTTAATCAAGTCATTAGATAAAGTAGAAAATAAACTATATAAAAAACTTTTTTAAAAACCACGTTTTTCATGTGTAGCAACGGACTAAAAAGGAGAAAATAAAATACTTAAAAAAAACTTTTTAAAAAACCACGTTTTTCTTGTGGACTAAAAAATAGAAAATAACTATTTACATACATTTGATGACAAAAAACGTGGGTCGGGCAGATGGGTCGGGAAATTTGATGGTGAACGTACCCACGTTTTTTGTCATCAAATGTATGTAAATAGTTATTTTCTATTTTTTAGTCCACAAGAAAAACGTGGTTTTTTAAAAAGTTTTTTTTAAGTATTTTATTCTATCCTCGCTTTTGATGCACCTGATTCATACTTGCGAAATCTATCTCTGTCTCTTGTAGCCATGGTGTAGAGGAAAAATGGTGAAATCACTTTGAAGCAACGTTAAATCGGTCCACAGTGGCGGGTGATAGTATCGATAT